TTGGGGATGAGGGAGGGTGGTGGGGAAGAGGGAAAGGGGGTTAAGAGCAGGAAGGGGAGTGAGGAGGAGGAGGAGAAGGGGGAGCAGGGATGAACGGTGGTTGTCGTGTGGAGGGGTAGGAGGGTGGTGGGGAGGGGGGGGGGAGGTAGTTGAAGGTGGGAAGCTGTCGGTTTATGCTGGTATTGGGCGGTGGGGGTGGGAGTGAGGGGGGGGGGCTCGTTTGTAACCCTGCGGCGCATGTAATGGGGTTGGTTGAGTAAGCACGAGCGGCAGGAAAGGAGAGACTGATTTATAAACAAGTTTGACAGATTGGGAGATAAGTATAATAAAGAGAGAGATTGGTAACGTTGGAAAACAAACAAACAATAAACAAGAGATTGAGACAGACGCAGACGGAGGAAGAGAGAGTAAAATAGTCAGATTGTCCAGTCATCCTTGTCTGGCAACACTGCGCTGGAATCACCTTTACGGAAGGGGGGGGGCGGGGAGGGGGAGGGAGGGTGGTTAAGAGTGCATGTGAATAAAGGGAGTCTAATTTTTAGAATCATACAGGGAGTGGGGGAGGGGAGGGATGCGGGAGTAGACAGGTAAACTGGAATCACCTCTCTCTCTCTCTCTCTCTGCCTCCCCCTCCCCCTCCCCCTCCCCCTCCCTCCCTCTCTCCCCCTCCTCCTCCCTCCCTTCCCTCCTCCCTCCCTCCCTCCCTCCCTCCCTCCCTCCCTCCTCCTCCCTCCCTCTCCCATCTCCCTCCCATCCCTCTCTCTCCTCCCTCACTCTTCTCTCTCACCTCTCTCTCCTCTCTCTCCCTCTCCTCCTCCCTCTCCCCCCTCCCTCTCCCCCCTCCCCTCTCGAACTCAGGAAAGAAATTCCCGCGGTATTACAAGTGTTTCATCATAAATTTATGATTCCTACGAGTGGGCGAGTGGACGGGGCGAGTAAAGCGAGCGGGCGGTCTCGTTAAGCGGAAGAGTGGGGCTGGAAGACCGTAGGAGTAGCGGCCGGGCGGGCAAGACACTTCCGGGAGTTGACTCACGCGGCGGCCGGGGCTGTTCCCCGATGGAGGGTGGAGGTGGAGGAGGAGGGGAGAAGGATGGAGGTGGAGAAGGGTGGAGGTGGAGGAGGAGGGGAAGAAAGGAGTGGAGTTAGTGGGGGAGGAGAAGGGGGGAGTTAGGGAGAGGGGGAGAAATGGTGGAGGTGGAGGGAGGGGGAGAAAGGTGGAATTGGAGTTGGGAGAGGGGAAAAGGGGTGGAGTTGGGGAGGGACAGAGGCGGAGAGTATTGTAGGGAGGGACAGGTAAATTTAGGAAGAGGAGGAGAGAGGACGAAAGAAGACGACAGGTAGACAGACGGAGGGAGGGAGGGAGAGAGGAGAGAGGGAGGAGAGGGAGAGGAGAGAGAGAAGAGAGAGAGAGAGAGAGAGAAGAGAGAGAGAAGAGAAGAGAGAGAGAGAGAGAGGAGGAGGGAGGAGAGAGGAGAGAGGAGAGATAAAAAATATATTCAAATAAACGAAAGAGTTTTGGGAAGTACACGACCGAGCTAAAAGTACACAATGTTATCGTGTAAACGGTAGGTTGAAGGGGGGGAGAGGGGGGGGTCACCTGGAGGTGGGGTAAGGGTAGGGATATGAGAGAGGGGGGGGTTACCTGGAGGGAGGGTAAGAGGTAGGTTACATGAGAGACGGCGGGAGGGGTGAGCTTCAGGGCGCCGAGTGAGCTGAGCGGTGGGCTCGAGGTGCAAAAAGCAAAGAAAAAAAAAAAGCTTCAGAGAGGAACAGCGCTCTCGTCCGACTGTGAGTGTGACTAAGGGAATACGTATGGCTAAATTTATTACTGTAATTTTTTAAATTCCGGTTTGGGTTTACACCACATGAGAGCGGTAATTCATGAATGGTTATTATGGCATGTCGTTGCGAACACTGCTTTTGTTCATGGCCTGTCTCTTCTCTCTCCTCTCCATCTCGTCTCTCTCTCTCTCTCTCTCCTCTCTCTCTCGTCTCTCTCGTCTCGTCTCTCTCTCTCTCTCCTCTGCTCTGCTCTCTCCTTCTCGCTCTCTCCTCTCTTTCTACTCTCTTCTCTCTCTCTCTCTCTTCTCGTCCGTCTCTCTCTCGTCACTGCACTCACTCACTTCACTGCCTCAACTCGCACTCACGTCACCATGCACTCACTCACGTCACTTCACGATCACTCACCTCACATCACTCAGTCGCCTTCCTCCTTCCCTCTTCTCAACTCCTTTGGCTCGGCTCCGCCTTGGTGGAGGTGGTGACAGGGCTGTGGATCGAGTGGCGCGGCCTGGGGGGTGGCTGTATAAATGAGGTTAGATTTAGGTGCTTTCTTTGCAATTCCCTCCCTATTAGCATGCATTATAGCCCTCGCATGAGCCCTGCCGTGCCGAAGCAATACAAAGACAACCTCTAGTTGAAAACAAACGTGACGGAGACCTTATTGTGATGGGGAGGAAAATACGAAGCGAAAGGCGAAGAAACTTGATGAATTAGGGCCAAGAAAGTAGGTAACGACAAGCGAAAGGAGAGCAATTCGTTGAGTCAGTGAGAAGGGCAGAGTTAATGAGGATGTGGATATGATTTGGCGATGTAGGGCGGAGATTCGTGTGGGATAGACCTTGTTGTTGATTCGTCGACTTGTTTGTTGATTGTCGTTATCAGATTCGTTGACTTGTTTGTTGATTGTCGTTATCAGATTCGTTGACTTGTTTGTTGATTGTCGTTATCAGATTCGTTGACTTGTTTGTTTTGTGTTATTGTTTATTGTCGTTATCAGATTCGTTGACTTGTTTGTTGATTGTCGTTATCAGATTCGTTGACTTGTTTGTTGATTGTCGTTATCAGATTCGTTGACTTGTTTGTATTCTTTGTTGATTGACGTTATCATCTGGGGATTTATGGCGCTGCTCTCGTTATGTGTGTGTTTTGTCTGTGCCTCTGAAGTTGTTTTTTGTATTGTGTCTGCATGTTAGTGTCTGTTTCTATGTGCGTGAACGTCGTTGTGTCTGTCATCTGTTTAGTTTTTGTCTTGTATGTGTCTGTATTTGTATCTGTCGGCCTCTATCTTGACATGTCTGTCTTGTATGTCTGTCTACATGTGGTAATCCCGACTTTATGCGCCCTCCCCCTCTCCGGGCGCCGGCCATTCATACAAATACACGATGATAAATCGCCAATGAGTGCCCTAACTTGCCACGTACTCTCCCACGGCTATTTTATCCTGGCGTTATCGGACTCTTATCGGTGGTGTTATCAGTCGTTCTCTTGTCTTAATGGCAGGTTTGTCGCCGCCCGTTTTGTCAACACTTTTGTCGGTTGCTCCGGAACTTTTTCTTTTAATTTATTTATTTATTTATTTTTTTTTTTTTGGGGGGGTGGAGGTGGCTAGGGATCTCTTCGTCTATGGGTCTTGGTTTTTGCCTGTTTTTTTTATTATTCAGTTTTGTCCCTTCGCCTCCATCTTTTCTCTTCTTCTTCTGTCCTACTCTCCTTACTCTTCTACTCTCTCTTCCTCTCCTTACTCTTCTCCCCTCTCCTCTTCTCTTTCTTGCCGCCATTCTCTTTTCCACTCCCTCCACCCATTCCTTCCCTCCCATTCCTTCCCCCCTTCCCCCTCCTCTTCCATTCACCTTCTCCCACAGCGTATATACTTAGTACCCTGCGTGTGTGTCCATATGTCAGTTTGCTCAAGGCTTCTTGGCAGGCTCAGAGGGGAGGGTGTCGGAGAGGGAGGAGGGGAGGTAGGGAGAAGGAGAAGAGTGGTGGTGGGGTTGGGAGGGTGTCGGGGTAGGGGGGGGTTAGGAGAAGGAAGAGGGTGGTGGGGGTGGTGGTGTTAGGAGGAGGTGGCGAGGCGGGGGGAGGGGGGTTAGGAGGAGGAAGAGGTGTGGTGTTGGAGGAGGAGGGTATGAAGAAGGTAATTATGGAAGGGGAATAGGGATAAAAAGGAAAGGACGATGATGGTAATAATGATAACGAGGAGGTGGAGGAGGTGAAAAAGAGAATACATAGAGAGGGGAGGAGAGAAGGATAGATAGGGGGGTAAGGTGAAGGGAGGGGCAGCTGTGGCGCTTTCAAGTATTCTCTGGCAGCCTCCCGAGCTGACCATGCTAGGTGCCAAGGAGGGGGGGGGGAGGGGGAGAAGGTGGGGAGGGTTGTTTACATTGAGTGCACTTCGTTGTTTTTGTAATTCCGTATTTCCTTCTAAGTGTTCAGTCCCTATTTATGTAATTTGTGTGTTTGTATATATTCGATTTTCTTCTATGTGAACGGAAATGTATTTTATTTAAAGAATATTGCGAATATTGCGTGTTCTTCTGTCCTTATTTTTTTCTCTCTCTCTCTCTGTTTCACTCCTTGCGAAAATGGCTTCACTTTGACCTTCAGGGAAAAGTTTTTGGCTTCGAGACACGTGGAAGGAAGGGAAGGTGCATGACGCGCATGGAGGTTGCGCTCATGAGGCAGACCAATTTTTTTTTCTTTTTTTATTAAGTACTTAAGCTGGCAGTATGTTAGCCTATGTTGGTCATCTCAGTTCTTGACAAGTTCTTCGTTTTGAATTTTTAAATGGGTATCTATCTTTCCTTTATATATATTATATATATACATATTGAGAGAGAGAGAGAGAGAGAGAGAGAGAGAGAGAGAGAGAGAGAGAGAGAGAGAGAGAGAGATACAAACATAAATATACACGTCATATGTATAAATGCATATCCGATGATCTAAACTCATAAAAAATAAGGCGACCCAAGCTTGCATAATGGATAAATCGAGCTTGCATTATGCTTGTGCATTACTGGCATCACAGTAGCTTCTCGACAGACATTTTCGTCATGATCTTTATTATTGTTTTATATATTACCTCGGTTATCATAATCATAGATATTACTATCATGTCTGTGATCATTGATATCATCAGTATCCTCATCAATAATAGGGATAATAGCAACCGAAGCAGCCATAATGACACCGTCACTAACTCGCTCTCCCTTGCCTTTCAGACGAGATCCGCAGCACCCTGGCCCCGGCGATAGTGGACTTCACCCCGAAGAAGGACCTCCCGTCGGAGAACGAGAGCGGCAACGTCGCCGTCGCCGCCATCTTGGCCGCCATCGGCGTCCTCTGCGTGGCTTCGGCGGTGAGTCGGCCGGAGACGAGGAGGGGATGACCGCGAAGGGCGGGTTCATTTCGGGATTATTGGGTTCATCTGGGGACTCACTGAGGTTCATTTGAAGATTTATTAGGGCTCTTCCGGCTTTATGGAGAGGGATCTCCATGGTTCGTTTCTGCAGCTTATGGGCAATTTCTGGGACTTTTAATTTGGGGGAGATTTGGATTCTACGTAGGGTGACCTATTAATTTTTCAAGAGGGGTGTATCGCTATCATAATTGCACAGTTGTTGAGGATTGATTTGAAGTGAGTTTCCCGGCGCGAACAAGCAAAGGCAGTTGATCCAAATGAAGACTTCTGATCAAAAGCTTGGCGCGATTTGATGTCTCTGGCGCAGTTGATTTAATTACTGCTTTTTATGCTTGATGACATACGCTCCAGTATCAAAGGCATGTGTGTGCTTGTGCTTGTGTATGTGTGTGGGAGTGAATGAGAGTGAGAGTGCCTGTGGCACTGTGTCTTGTCACTGTCTATATACAGTATGAAACGGCCACAATGAAATGATTTTTAAAGGCTGTGCAGATCTGTCGTCTCCATTTATTGTCTTTTTTTATGAAAATCCTGCTCATCAAGCTTTTTTTTGTCTACTTGGTATATCAGTTGATGAATTTATTGGCTCTGTTATAGATTGAAAACAGACAGGCAGACAGATAGAGAGAGAGGATATTCTTACCAACAATATAATGATTTGTTACCATTATGTATTTATTATTATTTCAATATTTCATGAGTGAGTGAACACACAAATCGATACATTCAGTGACACAAAAAGTAATTTAACAAGCCCCTTAATCTTTCAGATGGCCTACATGATCTACCGCTACTTCCGGAAACGTTCAGTGCACAGTATGAACTTTGACAACCCTGTATACAAGAAGACTACAACCGAGGATGGCTTCCACCTTGCGGGGCAGCAGCGCACCAATTGCCCGAGGAATTCTGGCCAGCCACGGTACCAGCACCAACAGTACGGGGTTGCATCGCCTGAGGATGTGAGTTTTAGCATGAATGAGTATATTCCTCCCATGCTCTTGCCTTTTTTCATCTTATATTTAACTTCAAACTTCCCTCAGGGTTTTTACATCTGGCTAGGAAAAGAAACGATAGATTCTGGCATCCCGTGATAAGCTAGGAGGTGACCGATAGTAGTTTATTATCTAGATGATGCTGTGATTTAAGTCTGTAGAGAGGCATAGCAAGACAATAGTAAAGTTAGTTTTTCCTTTTGAGACAAGGGTTGCATATCAGTATTATGATACAGTTACAGATAAAGTAATTGAGATTGTATTTAGTAGAGAAAGAATGACCTAGTGAAGTACTCTCTGATAATCCAAAAGTTCTCTATGAACTCTGATTGTAACGTATACATATATTGTTTTTTAGTAGCCTTACCTTTGTATACTTCAGGTTGTATCAACCAGACAGAAATACTTAGCTAGGAAATAGGTTGGAATTTAGTTTTATCTCTTTTGAATACTTGGGCAGTTTTAGATAACATATTGATAATTGCCAAAGATTTTTGTCAATTTTTAGAATTAGAAATATGAGAAACCTGTAATGATAGAATGAGAAAGGGTACATGCATAAATCTTTCCTTATGGTGCATTTCATATACAATTTATAAACATTTTGTATTCATTATTGTTTAACTAAGAACATGTTTTAAGGTTTTAAGGGCATTAGGTGGGAATAATTTTATGGCATTCAAGATTTATTAACGCTACCTTATTCTAGAACATACTCAACACCAGGGCTCAGATGTTCCTTTTGTTCTCTCTTGATGCATTTTCTCTTAATCATATAACCATTTATGAATAATTATTCTAAGGCAAATTGTAAATTTTACTGCCTAAGTAAATAAACACGTAAATAGTAAAATAAGATGAAACTTAATGATAAAAGTATTAGTACAACTGATACAAAAGTCTATTTAAACTTCAAGCTTTAAATTACAACTGTCACATTCTGAATGGATAAGGGACAATCCTAGCTTTAAACGGTGTATATCAAACTTCATTATCTAAGTTGAGCTTCACATAACTTAGCTAATATAAATAATTAAAGTCCCAGTTATGTAAGCACCATATTTTTGGATATAATAAAGGCTATTTTATGCACTAGCTTCATCAGCAGCTTACCAAGTGAATTCCTAAACCAGTGACTTTGATGACCTTCCAAACATCTGTCAATCATGATTAAGATGGAACACCTTAAGTATAACAAAAAAGATCTGTACAGTTCTTCAGTGTATAACTGAATCAGGAGCATGATAATTTTCAGTTCCATAGTCA